CACAGTTTATGCTGCTTGGTTCCAAGACTTGTTTTCTGATAAAACACTTGACGGTTTTTAGCTTCCCTCCTCACCATCTTAATATTAACTCTAGATAGTGCCATCTGGAAATAGAAAATGGGGGGTTGGCACATTCAGTTGAGTATTTGGTTTGACCAAATTTAAGATATTGGAAACTGAATCCCTCAAGATGTGGACAGGACAAGAAAGAGCTTTGATAATATGCTGTGGAACTTTCTTGACTGTACTCACTACTGAAGGATTTTGAGAAAACAGTGACAAAAATCTATTTGCATTTTAGAAGTATTCCTCTAGCAAATTATGTAGAGTAGATCAGTGTTTGGGAAGGGTGAGAGGGAAATGTTTCTGGAGGAAGGGTGACTAGGCAGGATGAATATTTTATAGTAGTTCAAGTGAGAAATAATGAAGCTTGGACTAACTGTTATAAAGATGGAGACAGATTATATAGAAAGGTTAAATAGACTTGGTGACTGTGTGGCAAAGGGGCAAAAGATTTTTGCAAGGGATTCAGTCACAGGATGGAGAATTAGAACATATGAAGATAAGTCATCTCTGCCCGGGATTGATATGGGTAATTTGGCAGCCTGGGACTTGAAATATCAATGCCAACACCAACAGTAGACTTACTGTTAGTGTTTCTTGCTTTCTAGGCTAAGTTTGGCTCATTCTTTGGTTTTATCTAGTTTAGTATTTCCCTTTCTTCCTGCCATGCTTCTGTTACTCTGTCAGAGATCCCCAACTAAGTATGATTTTTCCCCCTAAGCCTACTCTTTCCCTTTTACATTTGCTAGCTTCCCATAATTCAGTGCTTCAAACCTGAGATAGCTAAATAGAGATATGCTTTCTGTTTGTTTGGTACTGGGAATTGAACCTGAGGTGCTTTACCACTGATGTACATCCCTAGCCCCCTGCACTTTTTTTTTTTTAATCTTTTTTACATTTTGAAATAGTTCTCACTAAGTTGCTGAGGCTCTCCATAAACTTCTGCCTCAGCCTCCAAAGTTACTGGGATTATAGGTATGTACCTTCATGCCTGGCCATACCTGATATTTTAAAAATATATGGAGTATCCTATAAAAAAAAAAAAAAAAGAAAAACTTTCTCTTTGTGGTCTCTTCATTGAGCCTCAAGACACTTGAAATTCATATGCTGTCTAGGGATGTATTTCCAAAAGCTTATAGAAATGGGCCTAAACCAAGAGAATGTTCCAGATATGGGTTTGCCCTAAGACACATCTCAGAGCAAGTCACAAAGAACCAAAGGGGATATTTGATCAATATTAAGCCAGTTAGTCTCCATTTGGTACAAGATGTTCTCTTTTCCATGTAATTTCAGTTTGGGGGTTTCTCTTGGAGAATCCTTAGCACATGGCCCCTTGGCGCCCCTTGGCTTCCCTTGGCTATAGAGAGGGAGGCAGGGCCAATGCAATCTGTTGAATGGCCTGGGACATATATAAACAGAGACTAGTTTAGGATCTGCATTAGTCCTAAGTCTGAAAGCTGTGACTTTTCACCATGGTTGTGTGAGAGGGCAATAAACAGGTAGACTACTTTGATTAAGAATTTTTAATTATTTGGTCCTGAAATGAGTATAATAGAGTGCCTTTGGAGGTACAGGCTGAAAACCTAACTGTTTAGCTGGGCAATGCTGAGAAGGTTGTTTACTGGCTTTTTATGCTCAAGTTTTTGTTAATCAGGGATTAGCTTGACCTGATTTGTCAGCACTTTGATTCCTTAGGCCTGCCTTACAGCTTGTCAGGTCTGATTTAGGCTATGTGGCAGCTATGTCTTAGCACATCAGTGAAGTTAGCACATCTCTGCCAGGTTCATCATTCCCCTGGGGTGGCATGATCCCAAGGTAAGAAGGAGATTCACCTCTCATTGCCCATCGTATAGTTTCTGAGTAACTTAGGGAGGGGATAATTCTTCAGGGGAAAATATTCTTCTCATCCACCACAACAAACCATTTTCTTCACATATGAAATAAATCCCAGCTGTGTGACCACATGTCAGCCTCTTCATATTGCTTCTGGCTTGGTAATAGAAAAGAATAGTCACAAACCAACTTCTACATAAGACAGATTTGGGCTACCCCCATCCTTTGCTCCCCCACTTGTCCTTGACCTATCTAGTCTCTAGCAGTGACATCTGAAAAGGCAGGGAGAATTTAGAGTAGGTATGTTCTTTGCTTCCAGACTAGCTGTATTTGGTTTCAAGGAGTCTTAGATTGGTTGTGTGATGGGGAGAATTGTGATTGGTGAAGCCCTCTTCCAGTGTTCCTGTGACACTATTTCAGTTGCTTTAGCTGAAGACAAATTTTATGCACCAGGTGGTCTTCTGACTAACCCACCCATTTGGCTCCCCCTTAAAGCTCCTGCAGCTCTGAACCTTCCCACAACTCTGCGTGAGTGTCAGTGTCTCATGTTGAATTTCCATCTTGACTCATCTGTTTCTAGGCGAAGATCCCTGCAAAGATTTAAATTGGGAACCCAGACCTTGAGAATGTCTGTTGAGAGCATTTCACAGCTTCTGGATAAATGCCTTTCCCTTATTAACCCAATCTGTTTTTCCAGCTATGCCCAGCTAGCTCCTCAGCAGCCCTGCTTTGAGGAAGCTTCCCAACTGGGTGCTGTGCTTTCTTACTTGGAAAAAGCACCCTACCATCTTACCCTGCCCAGGATTCCCAAGGGTCAGATGACAAAAGGAGCTGCATTGTTGCCTACATTGCTCTGGTAAAAGAAATGGCCTACCTAATCCCCCAAAGCTAGTCCACTGAGGAGGTCTGATTGTCCTTTGGTTATAAGATATCTGACACTCTGTAGTATAGAATGATGGCAGAAAGAGCTCTGTTGTTTACTACTTTTCCATTTTATTTTCCTCCTTGCTTTTGCTAAACTATGGGAAGGTAGTAAAATACAAAGGTAATTTGTGGCCAAAGCCATAAGTTCTCTTGTAAAGTTTGAACACTGTAATCATGGATAGCAAATTTGTTGTGTCTCATGTCCTAGACACATCTACTATCTGAGCCTTTGATTTTCTAGAAAACCCAAACTTCTTAAAAGTAATGAGCTGAATGTGTTTGGTTAGGCAGATGGTCAAGACAAGTTTCTGATAGCTTTCAGAGTACCACCTGAGGCCTCAGCCAAGCCCTAGAGCTACTTGTAGGAAGAAGTGGGTTCTTTAGGTAATGTTCTGGCACTGGAAATCTTCTCCAGTCTTGGAAGTGTGAGCTTCCCAGTCTAGGATGCTCAGACCCAAACCCAACAACAAAAGCCACTGCTTATGGCTCTTCATAGGTGGCTACAGAGGGGGAGGGAATTCTGATTTAATCAGTCTTCCTTATATTTCTTGTTTTAAACCCTTTACTTCCTTCCCCTGGCCCAAGTCTGGGAAACTCCACAGTAAATTGGCTGTGACTTCCACTGAAATTTGACAGTTTTCAAGTTATTTTTTTTCCTCTGTATTTAGATGTGGTTATAGTTATGCTGTCAGCCCTTATCTTTTCTGTCATCCAGCCAGCTTCCAACTGGGTTAGGAGGTATTTGCTCTGCTGTCAGTGTTGGCTGCATAATGAGGTAGATGGGTAAGAAATGGGTTATTTAGCATCTTTTGGAATCTAAAATTTCTTCCTTGGTTGAGGGGGAAGCAATGTTAATGGAAGAAGGCTGTAGGGAGGCAAATGCTGGCTCTGGAATCAGCTCTTTCTCCTCAGGATCTTGGATAAGCCAGAGAGATAATCATTAATTTAAAAGCTTGTTTTATCTACCATATAGGACTGTTTATTCTGCATTGAGGAATCCTAGGATGTCCCCAAAGACTGACTACCTGATTCTGGGCTAAAGGGGCTAGGTTCTGTTATAGATTGTCATAAGGAATATTGCAGGGCAGCAGAACTTAATTTGGGCATGCTGGGCAAATCAAACTTACCCACCCAGTGTTGGTCTAAGGAGGAAGAAGGTCTTTTTTATTTGATCTGGCTCAGGGAAGGTAGAAGAAAAATGGCTTCTCTGGGTTGTTACTGGCTGATCAGAGTTCTGTATTGAGGACTCTGTGGTTCTCTAGGCTCACAAAGCAATGTTTTTCCTGACCTGTGGGTTGCAGAGTAGAAGGGGTTGTTTCCTATACTTGGCATTTTATGGTCCAGAGCTTCAAGGGTCCCTAGATTATACTTGGACATTAATGTTGTAGTGAACAACTTGAGTGTTCTTTGAAGATAAGGACATTCGATTTCCCAGTGACTCTTAAGTAGAATTGTTGAATTGTTTAAAATTAGAACTACACAAGAACCAACTGTCTGGCAAAAGTTCCAGGGATATAGGGCTGCTATTACAAAAAAGAGTTGGGAAATGTGGGATCATGAAAACAGCGTCCTGAACCTAGGGCAGCTTTTGGTCAATGTGGTGTCATTTTAGGTTACTGAGTTCTGAATTCTGGATTCCCAAACAATCTTTGGTCATAACTTTTGCAGTTGAGTGTCCATCTTAGCTTACCCAGCTTCCCTTCTTTCCCCCTAGTCATTGCCTTGATATGGCCTAAGGGAGTTCTTATTTTCCATTCGGTTCTCTTGTAGTGACTGTTTGGAAAGAACTAGATCAGATGTGTACTCTGAAAACGTGGCTCCATTTGACGTGAACTGTGCTTGGGCACTTTACCTGTCCTTCAGCTTTTCCAAAGGCTGGCTGCATATTATATACACACAAAGCAAAACAACCAACCTAGAGCTTGTTTCAGGAGATAGGAAGATTCCCTTTATATTGTGCTCCACCAGTTTCTTGCTGTGGTCTAGTCTCCCTCTGAGACTGGGAGCTCCTCAAAGTATAAGACTCTGTCTTAACATCTCTATATTCTATAGCTCAGACATGACAGGAGAAGATAAGCAGGGGGAAAGGAAGGAGGGGAGAGAAAGAAGGAAGGAAAAATGGGGGAGGGGAAAGAGTAGGATCTATATTTAGCGAGAGGGAGAGACACTCACCAAGGGTGTGTGAGTGAGCTTGCTGGCAGGGTTGTGTGTGCGTGAGTGTGCTGGGAAGGGGGTGTGTGCGCCAGCAACGTGTGAGGAGGGCTGGTGCCCTATGGGAGGTTGCAGGCAGGAAGCAGCTGGAGAGGAGGAGGAGCAGCAGCAGGAGCAGGAGCTGCCCTGCTTTCGTGTCAGTCTCAAAGCACGAAATCGATTGAGTTAGATTTCCATATCCAGTTGAAGTTTAGCTGCTGTTGCCTTCAGCAGGCTGGTCATCAGAATCCCCTCGGCAGAGAGGTGTGGACCAGATTGGATTCCTAGATTTGCAGCCAGTCAGACTCCTGCCCCGCCTTCACTGAGGGGATTTTTCTCCTGGGCATTGTTCCTATCATCAACTTTGTGCAGTGGAGCCAGCCAGCTGGGTGAAACTGAGAATAATAGCTTCTTGGCTCTGTTTGTCGGTTGGGCGAGTGGCAGAGCTGTGGCTCAGAAAGTTCATCTTGTGGCTTCTCTGTCAAATCAAGGAATGCTTCTGAATGGATTTCCTCTTAAAGACAGCACTTGCATTCTAAAACTTGAGAATTCATGGTTTTAATTGTGTTTTGTTTTTTCATTTCCTTAACCCTTATTTTGGTTGCAGCAGCAAGGTAAGTGATATTGAATGTCTGATTGACTCTTAACGACAAGCAGGGACAAAAGCAAAGCATTTGTGGGTGGAATATGGAGCAGCCACATTAATTACATAACTGCTTGAGCCAACTTGCTGGTGGGGGTCATTATAATGAGTGAAAAACAGCATACTCAGCACTGGGGTAGAATCTTTACACGCACATGTTTGTCTGCTGATACTCTTGACCATTCATTTCTCCTTGGTACTTTGCTATCCATATACAAACAACCTATCCACCCTTCTGGTTGTTTGCATACTTATATACAATCAATCTTTTTTGCTCTCTCTGTGTCCATATGTGTTTCTAAATTACCTGTTCATTTCCTCTCTTGTGCATGTGTTACATGTAGACAACTAATCAATTCATTTTATGTGAATACAGATAAGCCATCTCTTCCTCTGTGTATATTCATATATAGAGATCATTTGTCCCTTTATGCATATGCATATATTCAGGTAACCTTCCTGTTCTTTTATATATCCAGAAGACCTCTCCATACTTCTTCTGTGTATTCATGATGTGTAGAGGGGTTGGGGGCCTATAACATCCTATCTAAGGTTTTAATTCATCCTTTCATGTGCATATTTCTGTGAACAGAAAAGTCATCTTCTTTTGAGATACTTTGAATTTTCTCAGCCTTGAGTGTGTGCACACATGCATATAGATAATTTGTCTATTTATATCATGCATGTGTGGTGAAAGAGCACTAATTGTAGATTGAAGACCCACTTGTAAATCCTAGCTTCTTTGATGACCTTGGTCAAGTCTAAGTTAGCCTCTCAAGCTTCATTTTTTTCAACTATGTAATCAGAACAATAATTCTTTCCTCCTGCCTCACAGGGTTGTTGTGATGATAAAAAGAGTGCCACAAAAACTGAAATTTCTAAACGAATATAATCTTTTACTATTATTACATGTCCCTCTAGTGCACGTTTTTACTCAGCTGCCTTGAGAAGATGCTGTTGTCTGTGCAAGGTCCCTGAGCCTTCCATGTGAAGGGGTGGCTTCTGTGGAAGTAGCCAGGTTTATACTGTAGTTTTGCCCAGTGTATTTATTGGAAAGAAGCTACCCAGAACTACAGGATATTGAAAAAAGTTTTGTGTTGAGAGAAAGAAAAAGTCATCCTCTGCAGGTTGGGGCCTTGATACTTGGTTCTTTGTAGCTTTGAGGAAGACTGAATCTGTCACAAAACAGAAATGTGCTGCTTCTAACTAGGATCAAAGTGAGCAGGTAAAAAGATGAGTGAAAGAAACAGAGCATTCTGCTGCTACTGAGATGACAGTGAGCCTCTAGTACTAGGTTTTAAAGACTCTCCAGTGTCCCTAGTCCTGAACTACTAGACCTGTGTTGTCCAGTGTGGTAGCCCACTGGCCACATGTGACTGTTGAGTACTTGAGGTATACCTAGTACTAGTCTATTTTGAGATGTTCTATAAACATGAAATATGTATGAGATTTCAAGGACTTAGTATGAAAAATGCAAATATATGGTAATTTTTTATATTGATTACATGTTGAAATGATATTTTGGATTTTGGGTTAAATAAAATACGAAGATTAATTTTACCTGTTTCTTTTTACTTTTTTATGTGGCTGCTAGAAAATTTTAAATGACATATGTGGCTCATGTTATAGTTCTGTTAAGACAGTGCTTCTCTAGACCCATCATTAGGATAAGGACCAGGGCAGCTTTTCATTCTGGAAGGGCAAATAGGAGCCCCATCACAGCAGCCCTGGGGATGACAGGAACCATGGCAGGACCTCTTCCTATCGGTCTCATAAGCTAGAGAGATAACAGCTAATTGACAGTCTGGCAATTTTTGTCCTAAGCAAGTTCCCAAAAAATTATATGTAAGTATAATTAGAAAGAGATGTCCAACTTAGCTTTATGATGAAAAGGGTTGTAAACCATCAATCTAGATGGAAACCTAGAACTTGAAGATAGAATGTTGTCAAATTAGGAGACCTGGATTCTAATTCAATTCTGTAATCAACTCCTTTGTTCTCTCCATGGCACTGAATTTTCTGTCTGTGACATGTCCTGTGCTTGGGCATGGTAAGTCCCTGTTCCACACACTGGGAATTCAAAAACAAATGAAGGAGTTTTCTCTGTAATGGAATTCACACCCTCTGTGGGCCCTTAAACAAAAGCCTCCCACCCAGACAGAAACCAGGTGTCATTCTAGGTCAAGGGTTATAATCTTGGATAAGTGAGCTTTTGAAAATCTAAGAACTCCTGCCTTGCCTAAAGACTTTAACATTCAAAATTTAGAAAAACACTGTGACAGCCAACCAAAACTACTCCACAGGACTTGCTATATCCTCCACATTCTCACAATGTAGAATGTGGAGGATATAGCAAGTCCTAGGAAATGTGGTACTGAGACCTTGCTAAACTTTTGGTCTAAGACGTTCCCTTCTCACCCTTCATACCTTATACCCCGATTACTTTCTTCTGATGAGATACTTTGTAGGCATTGATACTTTCCAAAAGATTAACATCCTTAGAGCATCCTTACTTGCTGTGGCCCTAGAAATCTATTCCTCTCACCATTTTTGCCACACAACATAATTGATAAGTGGCCCAGGAATGACCCTGTCCTCTCTTGGGATCCAGAGTTCTTAGCTTGCTGCCTGCTGTTTCACAAATTGAAAGGTTGCTTGATATATGTACATTGAATCCCATTTCGTTCCTAGAGATCCCTTTGTGGTATCCTCTAAACCAAGATTTGGGTTACGGGCAATTTTTGTAAGGACTAGTCACATTCCTAATCATGTTTATTTGATAGATCAGAGAGAATAGTACACAAATAAGCCATTTCATAAAACTGAATTTTTTCCCCCTCTGGGCTTGGTTTTGATAAGCTCATGCTGATAAGATGCATTTAAGGGGTTGACTTTCTGCTCTAATTCTCAGTTTTCTATCATTAAAACTTTAATCCTTTTGATTAATTCATTTTGTTTTGATGTGTTCCCTTTTCAAATGCAGATAGTCATTCCTTAGAAAAAGCACAGAAAAGTCTGGTCATTTCAGAGGTATGCTTGAAATTTGAAGAGCTTACCAGAATGGATAGACCAACAGGAATGGGCAAAGTGACAACACTGAGTACATTAATGGAAGCTAAAAAGCTTGGTTTGAGCTAAGGCTCAAAAATCTCGTATCCCATCCTAACTCAAAGCATTACTTCTCTGTGGCCTTACCTTTCCTGGTTTTGCCTCTTACCTCCTTCTACCCCATGGAATTAAATGCTTAAACTTTTTATTACAATTTTGGCAATATCATTTGAATATTTTGAATCATTTCATATTATTGTCTATATGTCTCTCACCAAACCTGTCTCTAAACTTTAATATATTAGAAATATGGAATATAGCTTAGTGGCACACCCAAGGTACCCATTTATTTGCATTGACTTGGAGATAAAATGGTTTGCCTCCTTTCCTTGCATTTCTTTGGCGAATAGTAGCACAAGGAAGCTGGGGAAGAAGGTGGCTTGCACCTCCTGATGCTGAAGGTTGCCTTATCTGCCCATTTTTGGCTTCTGGTATCGATTGAACTCTGATCAAAGTGACTGTCTGATCTTCTAGGCATTGACCTCCTTCTCTGCTTCGGATCCTAATGACCTGAATTAGTAAGTGTAGTTCCTTTGGGAGAACCTGTATCCCCATAGATTCATAGATGATTCTTAAGTTTAGAGTTCATGCAGGGGCAGTGGCTACCAACTCAGAAGAGGGTTTAATGTTTAATGCCTGTTTAATGTGGAAGCAGGCATTTTTGTGGCTAGGAGAAGTGCTATGGCAGCTCTAGTTGGAAATTTTCTATTTGTTAGTGACATAGAGAACCAAGCAGCTCTCCGTTTAGTCCTTCAGGAGGTCATAGAAAAGTGACTGTACTATTTTCCCTCTGTGTGGCTGGCCAGTGAGTGTTGTGGGTGCTACAGTCTGGGAGCGGACAGTGGTCAGACTGTCCAGGAAGCTAGGCCAAGCCTATCTGGACTATTGATCTGAGAGACAGAAGCAGATAGGCCTCAGGTTAATCTGGCCTGAGTTAAAGCAGTAGCAGGAAAGTCAACTTCATTTCGTTCCTGATGAGCTGCCTTATCTGGACCAAAATATGTCTGGCCTTGCAAGATCTGAAAGTGAATTCTGTGTCTCTCCAGCATTAGAAAGAAAAAGCTTGCTTTCTGTAATAATTTTTCCCTTCTTCATGCTGTCAGGCTGCCTAAGGGAGGATGACAGACCTCCTGACACCTGAATGAGGTGTTGGGAACCAAATGATTTGTTTAAAGTTTTTTTTTGCTACTGGGAAGTGATAGACTTATAAGAGGCAGGGCCTAGAGAGAGGTCTTCTGGTCATTGGGAGCCTACCCTTGACGAGAATAGTGAGACCCACCTCTTCATCATGGTCATGAGGTAAATGGGCTTCCTCTTCATGTGCTCCCACCATAATGCACTGCCACTCCCAAAGCCATGAGTCCACCAACCATGCACTGAAACCTCCAATACTGTCAGCCAAAATAAACCTTTTTTTTTTTAAAGTTTTTTTTTTGTTTGTTTTTCTTTTTTTTTAATTTTAAAAGGAAATCTTCTATTGGGTGTGATGGTACACACCTATGATCATAGCAACAACACAGGAAGCTGAGTCAGGAGGACCAAAAGTTCGAGGCCAGTCTCAGCAACTTAGCAAGACCCCGTCTCAAAATTTAAAAAATAAATTAAAAAAGGACTGGGGTAGTAGCTCAGTGGTAAAGCGCCCCTGGGTTTAATCCCCAGAACTAAGAAAAAAAGAAAACATACAAACTTCTACGAGAAAGCAAGATTAACTCAAGGGATAACACTCTGCTGGTAGGATTCCAGGCCCTGCTGCAGATTATTAAAATGGACTGAGAAAGAAGTCCAGGGCAGAGTAGAAGTCATGGATCAGTCTAATCACACCACTTAGGTGATTTGGATGATTGGCTCGCATATTGGTATCCATGCTTCTTTCACTCTGGGACTTGCCACATCAGTAACAACAACAATTACAGTGCTATACAGTTTACTAAATACCACTTTCTCATTTTAGCTTGCAACATTTCTGTAATTAGCTCCCCTTACAGATAAGGAAACTAATGCACAGAGAGGTCAGGAGTTTAATACAGGGTTACTGGTGAAACAGAGAACCCAAACTCAAGTTTCCTGATTCTTAGTCTAGTAGCACTTGCTCGTGGCCTCATGTGCTTATACACAGAGCTTCCATCTTTGTTTAGTAAACTATCATTCTCTTCTGAGACAAACTTAAAAACTAGTTGGCAGATCCAGCCCTTGTGGAGCCAGAAAGTTCATGGCTAATACCAGTGCCAAGAACAAATCAGGGACTCCCAACCCTGCATGAGTGAGAAAAGAAAGGAGTATTTTTGGAAATATAAATTTGTGCTTGTGGGAGGAGAATTTGAGTTAATCCCAGAATTGGAATTTAATCTCCCTAGCCAGCTGGGCACAAGGCCCAAAAGCCAGGAATTGAGGTTGTTGTATACCTAGGGCATCCTCAAAAGCTAGGTTGAGTTGGCCACATTAGAGGTATAGCTGGTCCTGGCTCCTTGAAACCTTGAAGTAAAGCAATAATGGATACCTCACAGAATAGGTAACATTCTTAAATGAGGAATTCCTTTATTAAGTAGAATTCTTAGTGGAGCTGAAGACAAGAAAGAAAGATAGGAAATGGGAATTCGTCTAGTTTCTGTCTCTTGGCTCTTGACCTAGTTACTTCCAGAATAAGGAGTCAGCTTTATCTTTATTCCAGGTCTTGCAGCTTGTCCTTCTTGTTCCTAGTTTGGGGAAACACAGTGCTTTTAAATTTCAGGCTCACAGACAATAGCTAAAAATGGTGGGTTTTCCTGAAAATGAGTTGCCACAAGAGTAGTCAGCTTATTTCTTTAAGGCAGCTCTTCCCTTTTATGATTAACTTGAATGCTGGAAAAATAAAAGGAGATAAATGTTTAGAAAATTTAGGAATCTAGAAAGATTTAGAAATTCTAGAAAATGGAGAAACCATCTCTGGCCAAAGAACATAGCTCCCATCTTACCCCTCACAGAGTGACCTAAGAACCAGAATATTGAAATCTCACACATTTGTACTTTTCACTCTCTTCCTTCCCTCCCTGCATTTTGCACATTCCTAATGAAAAGGAAATGGATGCCATCCCATATAAGATATCTTTGCCTTTATCATACAGTCTCCAGTGGCTTAGGGTACAGGAGCAAGATAGATTGGTGGAAGGTCTGTCTTCATGGTTTTTAGTTTTTTTGGGGGAGTCAGAAAGGCATCCTGGAGTCCTCTGTTATGTAAACAACTCCTCCCTTGGCTCATACATTCCTCTCTCCAAGCCAGACAGAAGGTTAAAACAACCAACGATTATTCAAGCAGTGATAGTGTGTGTGCTCAGCAACACTTACCATGCTCCTCTGTGGACCAGAAAAACGGAACCTGGATATGTTTCAGCTGCACCAAGCAGTTAGGAACTATTAAGCAGAATTCAAAAACACCAGGTTGAGCCTGAGTGCCCTTCATCCTCAGTTGTGAACCTATCATATGTATGCTTTTCGCTGGCTGCCCCTCTAGATCCAAACATGCTAAATGCTACCTAGGTTCTGGTCAGTGACAGTGCCCATACTGTACCACCTTATTCTGGAATTAAGTATAAAAATGCTTTTTTTTCCCTCCAAGTTTAAAATACTTGCCATGATCCTTTTTCCAAGTTAAGATTGCTATTCCTAAACAAAGGGAAAACACTTTATGCTATAATCACAGGCAGGGGTGAACCATTGAGTAGCAGAGTCTTCACGAGAACAACAAAATGAAAGAGAAAGAAACATTCCATGTCCTTGTCTCTCACTGTGTGTGTGATTTGAGTGTTGGGAGTTATGTATCTGTTCATTCCTGAACCTGACTCTAGTGCTGAATTTTATGAAGGTTCAAATAAGCAGTCACTCATTTATACTATCTCATCTACCTCCCAGTAGCTTGTCTTGGTACTGATACCTTTCGTACTTGCCCAGAACACAGAAAAGACTTGATTTAATTTCTTATCAGTATTTGAAGGGGAAGTCAAGGAGAGAGAACTGATTGCCTACAGTCTTTAAGGCCAAGTTTGGTAGGCAAGTCAGTATTGATTCTTACAGTCTTAGAAGATAGTGTTCTTATTCCTCTTTAACAGTTTGATTCTAATTGAAATTATCCTGCTGCTTTCTGATCTGAGTGCACTGTTTTCCTCTTTCACTAGCTACAGGATAAGTGTCAAGCCAAGATCCAGGGGTATGTACCAGGTTTGGAGGCCGCACATGAGGTCAATCCAGGTATCACTGTGGGCTAAGCCCAAGCCATCAGCCAACAATAATTGCTAGAAAGAATCCAAAAAGAGCAGACAGGCTGTTGCCTTCCAAAGCAATCTGAACTAAGCTTCCTGACGAGAAATAAGGAGAAGAAGCAGAGAATCAATCCCTTCAGACTCTGAGAAAGAAAATGAAGCGATTATTGCAAGAGTCAGAGGAAGAAATCATGGTCACCTTGGGACCTTCCTCCAGGCTTCCCCCAGATAAGGCTAAGGCAGAGACTGTGTGTGGCATCAAGATCAAGTCCTCAGGCCCTACTGGATCCTTACCAGAGGACAGCTCCCTACTTGCATGCTGTGGGTCAGCAGCCTCAGCCATTGGTGGAGATAGAGATGGGGACTTGGCCCAGCTTTGTAGCTTTGGACAACAGGCCAACAGCCAACTTCCTCTGGGCTCTACAGGTTGTGTTTCAGGGTCTGGCTCTCAGGACCTCTCATCTGCCAACTTTACCACAAGTTACCAAGTGCCCTCAGAGAGGAACCAAGCCAAGCCCCTTTCATCCAGAGGCTCTGTCCAAGGTTGTAACCGTGAACGGCGAGAACCTTTGGGGGATGTAGTAGAATATATCATCAGAGAGCTGCAAGGCATCAGCCGTCTCCAGACTGAGATTGCTGAGCTTCAGCAGCACTTGAGCCAAGTTCGGGGCTCAGTGGATGAAGTGTCTAGCTGTGTAGACTCTGTACTCAGTGAAATAGAAGGCTTGCATGTTGGCAGCAGTTCCCTGGCTAAGGTGTGTGAGGGGGAAAAGGCCCAGGAACCCCATGTGGAAAAAAATAGCGAGGAAGCCATGCTTTACCTGTATGGACTTCCTGAACAAGATGGGGAAAATACTATGGAACTGGTGGATAACTTCCTAGCCAGACACCTGTGTATAAATGGCATGCAGTGCAACAGATACATCAAAGAGGCTTATAGGGCAGGCAAAGCCCCTGCCCCTAGGCCCACTGTGGTGAAGCTTGCCCATCTAGAGCATAGAGACTTCATCTTGCAAAAATCCATCCTTCTGCAAAGTGCAGGGGTTCAGGTTGCCACCAGAGAAGAACCAAGCTGGACACAGGACTATAAGAATCCCCCGAAGGAGTGTTTATCCTTTTTTCAGCAACTTCAGGATCACAGTAGAAATTCTTTAAATAAGAATAAACCAGTTCTTCAGATGAAATCAGGGGACAGAGAACCTATAACAGGATCAAATCAGATGAGATCTCAGAACCAACATAGAGAACACCAGATTCCTAAGCAGCAAGACCCTTGCTTCCAAATGAAGAATAATTTAGCAGAGCAAAGTAATGTGTCTAAGTTAGGGGATGAAGTAAAAGGAACATTAGGAACATGCCGGATTTTCAGTGGCACCTGTGGTGAACTGTCAGGGAGAGAGGCTTCTTTGTCTCCTCTCCATCAACTTGAGAAACCTTCTCTAGTGTTAATCTCAAAAGAGGAAGATAACAGGAAATCCCAGTCTTTCAAAGAGTGCAGCCAAGAACTTGAAACCTGTAAAGTAGCGAAATTAGAAAATGATTGCAGCCATAAAAATGAGGCCAGCAGCTGCCTGTCACTCTCTGGGTTGCTGAAGACAGAGAGGATAAATACAGAGGACAAGCTTCTGAGTTGTGAAGCTGGACTTGATATTCTGAGCTCAAAGCAACTAGAGGACCTTTTGGCAGACAAGTCCAGAAAGTTTGCAACTCTAAGCTCTGATAGCATGATGGAGGAAATGATCATAGGGCCTGAAACTTTCAGTAACATGGTTCATATTGACCTGAATGAAGAGGAAGAATGTGCTGCTCAGGTCCTTAAGGATGTCTTTGACAAGTCCTCTTGTGTTCTGGGTGGCTCCCAGGAGGATGAGGATGTGGAAATTAAGTTTTACACAACGAAGCTAGGCCGAGCAATTCACCACTTTCGTTCAGCTCTGCAGGGGGTATTTCAGAAGCTGGAAAACAGTGGGTCCATTAGTCTTGAGGACCTGGAAAGTAATGAGAGTGGTTCTCAGTCAGAGAACAGTGATCGACTTCTTGGGACAGTGAATTCTGGGTGTCCCCAAGATTGCTCCATAGAGAGCCCTGGGAGTCAGGGTAGTGAAAGTTTGCTCAGTATGATCTCTGGAGGATTGGGCATCTCTGCACAGGAAGACCAAACCCCTCAAGACCCAAGCAACTTTTCTCTTGCTTCTAATAACTCACCTCTTGCTTATTCATTGCCCACTATTGCTCTGGCCCCGCATCTGGGACGTGAGACTTGTTCCTGGCCTGAATCTCCCAAGCAAGACAGACTAAGCCTAGAGCAAGTGTGTGCAGAGACCATTTACCTCAACAAGTGCATCAATAATTTTAAAAATGTTCTAAGAGAGAAAAGACTGAGGCAGAAAAAACTTTTGCACGAGCTAGTACAAAAGGCAAACCATCTCTCCGTAGAAGACATGCCCTCAGGTATTCTGAGTCTCTATGTAATGATTTCCCAGCTGGCTCCATATGGATCCATCTGGACTGCATGGGGTCTAGCGTGATGGTGGGTTTCTCCAAGTAATGGGGAAGTCTAAACTATTGGAGTCAGTCCTTAAGCGAATCCCGTGGGAATTGGAATGAAAGAGGTTTCTGTAGCAATAGGAATTAAGTTGGGGTGTTTTCAGTTTGTTGGGTGGACTGTACCTTTACAAAAAGGGCAGATGTAGTTTACAGCTACAGGACTTTTAGGATATTCAGGTGTAAAGTACATATGGGAGTGAGAAACAAGAGAAGGGGATGAGACATATTGTTCATAGGCACTAGAAGGGCCAAGAAAGAATCCTGTGTTGTGTCTTCAAATTATTCTCCATGGTTTTCTGGTTGAGATAAGATTGTCATTTCCTCAGCACCCAATAGGGCTTCTCTACGTCATAGGTCCCTGTAGTAGTTTTTGAATTCCATTCTGCCTTTTTCCTAAGTATCAGCTTTACAAAACAGAACTTTATTTCCTTGGAATGGCCAAGAACTGCTTATACTTCTGACCCTGTGCAGGGGCCCTACTGCCCTCTATGGATCATATTCCCTTTTCTCCTTCTCCAGGTAAAGGTTGCTTACCTGAGAACTGAAGAATAGAATGGTTTTCGACTATAGGTAATAAGAGAACCTTTTCTAGGCAGTATGGAGATATGTTGCTTTAAAATTTCTTCTTCCAATCAAAAATTAAATATAACCAAAGAGCATATGCTGTATTCATCCAGTTTTAAATGTAAGTGGAGTTGTCCTCGTTTGCATATAACCTGATTAATTTTCCTAAGGCAAAATTAAAAGTATGAGGCATGTTGGCAAAGGTGTGAGGGAAACAGGCACTCCTGCAGTGCTGGTGGGATGGGAATGTAAATTGGTCTAACCTCTAAGGAAAGCAATGGGCAAAATTCATCAGCATTACAAATATATATACATACACACACCCTTTTTTCCCTAAGCCCCACTTTCAGGAATGTATCCTGCAGATACATTTTCACATGTGGAAGTGACATATGTACGAGAGTATTTTTGAAGCATTATTTTTAATAGTAAGGATTAAGAACAACCTAAGTGTTCATTAAATACCAGTTAAATAAATTATTGGCATATCCAAACAATGGAATACAGTATCATGTAGCTATAAAATGAACGAGGTAGCTCTTGACTCAAATGAAAAAATATCTAAGGTATCTTGATGTGAAAAGCATAGAGCAGAACAGTATTATAAGATGCTTTCATTTGTATAAAAAGGGGAAGGAAAGAAACACACACCCCCATAGTGTCTGCTTGTAGTGTATGTATAGAATATCTAAGGAAAGATACAAAAGAAACTCTTGCATCACTTAACGACAGGAATACATTCTGAGATATGCATTGTTAGTTGATTTTTTGTCATTGTGTGAACATTATAGTGTCCTTACATAAACCTGGATCATATAGTTTACTATACACCTAGACTGTATGGTATATGCATCATATTATTAACTGAGATGTCATTATGTGATGCATGTCTGTGTGTGGTTGTCCATGGGGAAAGGTATTAGAGGAGAAAACAAATGAGATGGAATGGATTTTTCACTGTACATCCTCTTATATATATTTTAGAACTTAAATCATATGAATGTAGTACTCAGTTATAAAGTTAAATTAAGAAAATCATATCACTCTTCCTTTCAAATATCCCTAGAGCAACTCCTTACAGCTGTCCAACAACAACAACAACAAAAATGTCTAAATTCCTTCACTTGGCATTCAAGGTTACTAAAATTGGTATATACATTTTCAGGCATATCTCCCATTATTCCCCTATATAATTCCTAAAAGGAAATTTTACTGGCTTACAAATTTGCTTTGTTCTTTCTATTCTCAGCATATTCACAGATATATGCTTCCTTCTAACATAAGGTACTGTGTTTACCATTTCAGCCTAGCAAAAGTTACTTGTTCTTCAACACAACAGCCAAAACATCACTTCTTCCAGAAAGCTCTCTGAAATTTCATTGCTGTAAAGGATCTCTCTTCTTAGCTTTATAGCCTATTTTTTCGAGGCAGTAATTCCTTACAAACTCCTTAAAGCTTGGTGGGAGCTGATACTAGCATGAGCATCAAGGGTACTTGTGTCTGACTCTTCAGCTTGGAAATGCCCTTTCTGGCCTGACATCCTGTTAGGTGATGCAGGAGCTTGTGGTACCTGAGGTAAGCAGATGGTGATAGCAGTGGTGATGATGAAAAGGAGATTTGGGAAGCACCACTGAGAAAGCAAGTCAGGCCAGGCATGGTGGTTCATGCCTGTAATCCCAGCAACTCGTGAGACTGAGGTGGGAGGATCTCAAGTTTGAGTCCAGCCTCAGCCTTCAGACCTTGTCTGAAAATAAAATTAAAGGGCTCAGAATATAGCTCAGTGGTAGAGCACCCATGGATTCAATCCCCAGTACCGAGAGGTGAGAGGGCAGGGGGAGGCAAGCAAGATGTGGTAATAGTCTGAGGTCTACAGAGGGAAAGCTGGAGGGAGTGCCATTATTTATTTACTACATACATCCCTTCCATAACCCTTCCATGCTGGTTTGGTTCTGACTTTAGCACTGTTCCATAGAACAGGGTAAGCATAGAGACCAGGCTCTCACCAACATACTCCTTTTATAGATTTCACCAGAACATTTTCCCAAACCTAGTAAACTAATTCAGAATCACAGTGGCTGCTAACCATGACAAAGTATTTGATAAATCAGCTTTCTCCACTGCAATATTTGAGACTTTTTAGGGCCCAAGTTTACTAGTTGTAGCTTATCATTAAGTTGAGTTCTTATTTTTCATCTTTTTTTGTGTGTGCTTAGCATTGTTTAAGTACTTACCTGTGCTTTCCATTCCTGCCAGTCCACCAGAGTAGCTGGTCAAGAGCACCAGATGACCACCATATTGCCAAAATGAGGGTTCATTTTCGATCCTCCTTTTAAGCAGTCAATCAGCAACTTGACACAATTGATGATGTCCTTCTTTTTATTGTAAGACCTTTTTGGTGGGGGAGGGGCAGTACCAGGGATTGAACTCAGAAGCGATCAACCACTGAGCCACATCCCCAGCCCTTTTTTGAATTTTATTTAGAAACAGGGTCTCACTGAGTTGCTTAGTGCCTTGCCATTGCTGAGGCTGGCTTGGAACTTGCAATCCTCCTATCTCAGCCTCCTGAACCACTGGGATTACAGACGTGTGCCACAGTGCTCAACCATTGTTTTTATTTTTAAAACAATAGTCATCACAATTAGAATGAAGTAGAACACAGAAGTTTTAAATTTTGATGAAATTCAATTTATCCATTTTTTCTTGTGTTGATTAAAATTTTTGTGTTGTTATTTAAGAGACCTTTGTTTAATCCTTAGTTACAAAGATTTAATCTTTCTTTTCCCCCTGAGAGTTATATTTAATTAGAGCAGGGTATTAGCTGTTATATTTAGATCTGTGATCCATTTTGAGGGGTGTGTGTGTGTGTGTATGTTGTAAGGTAGGGGTTCAACCTCATTTTTTGTGCCTATGGATATTTAGTTGCCCAGCATGGTTTGTAGACAAAGACCATCTTGCTTCGGGATATAGCTCAGTGGCAGAATACTTGCCTAATGTGCATGAAGCAATGGATTCAATCCCCAGTACCATGAGAGAGAGAAGAAAAAAAAAAAGAAAAAAAGACTATTCTTTTCCCATTGAATGGTCTCAGCACCCTTATCATTGTGGTGAAAAACCAAGTGACTATAAGTGGACTTTCAATTCTATTCCATTGACTTTCATTCTCTTGCCTCAGTTCTTTCTCAGTTTTCAAGAGATTGAACCCGGGCTCCACCCAACCCTTTTATTTTATTTTGAGATGGTGTCACTAAGTTCCCTGGGCAGGTCTCAAAACTTGTGATCCTCCTGTCTTGGCCTCCCAAGAGGCTGGAGATTGCAGGTGTGTACCCAATGCCCAGCAAGTTCTTTCTTTTTGAAATGAATTCTTTATTTAGCTTTCATAATGCTTCTCTGTCTCTGTTTTCTTTCACCATTATTCATTATCCCTTTTTAGTTATGTTTGCTAATCCTTGCTCATCTCTTCAACCTTGTAATATCCCTGGCTTTAATCCTGCCCTATTTTATTCATACTCACTTCCTAGTTGATAATACTCCAATCCCTAGAGCTTCATAGGCATACTGAATTTATGTGTCCAGCTCATACATCTTCCATAAATACCAGACTCCAAACCTATGTAATATTCCCATTTTTATGTAAGTAGGCGTCTCAGATTTCTTTTTCCCCAGTTCTCTACTTTTCCTGTAGGCCTTCCTTACCAGTAAAGGGCAAAGTCATTCCTGACTTTTTTTTCCCCCACTTCACAACCCTCATCCAATTCAGTCTTCTCTGCCTTTAAAAAAAATCCTGAATTTTGCCACTATTTCTGCCACTATTATCCTTGTCCAAGCCACTATTTTCTCTCATTCAGATTATTGCAGTAGTCTAAATGGTCTTCCTTTTTCTGTGCATGCCCCTCTCCAGTAATTTTTACAAAACATAAGTCAGATCATATTACTTCTCTGCTCAAAACCTTCTAGTAATTTTCTGTCTCACTTATTTTCTTCTACTTTAATAAAATCTTCACTCAGGATGAAAAACAAAGTTCTTCTAAGGGCCCGTTTGAACTGACACTTTAATTGCAAACTTGCTGTTCCTCACACCAATTATGGTCTCACCTCAGGTTTTGCACTTGATTTATGTTCTGCCTGAATACTTTTCTCCTAAGACTCTGTGATTTCCTTACTCATTTCCTTCAAATCTCTGCTTAGATGTAATCTTATCAATGAGATAACATTTAATAAAATTTTAATACCAACTCTTAACATAGTCACAGGAGCCATTATCTTTTTTCCCTTACCTGAATTTTAATTAATTAATTTATTTATTTATTTTTAATTTTTTTATTGGATGTTCAAAACATTAC